TTATCCATTTCTCAGACGAGACACGTGGAGAACTATGGCGAAACGAAGGCATGCAAGGCGATACGTGTCAACTTTTGGAGAAATATTCATTGGGGACAGTTATTTTGACGTATTATAAATAGAGGTCTTAGTATTAGGATTTTCAGGTGTTCAATTGTTGTACGATACTCCAAGTTTACTCAAATATCCAAGTTAATGTGAGAAAAGAGTTACTATTGCGAAATGTACGTTGAAACACTATACTTTATTCAATAAGAATTTACTTTCTATTATCAATTGTTATTTACTGCATTTCTTTTTACTTTGAAGTTATTTTCTTTACTGCATTTTCTTTACGAACTTTAGCAAAGTTTAATCTTTTCAACAAATAAATCAAAATGTTCTTTTTATACTAATGAATGTTGTCAAAGTGTTTATCACTTTTTTTCTCCAGAAATACATTAACACAATAGCTATGTCCTCAAGATTCACTGGTTGATCATGCAAGTAAACCAAATCTTTGAAAGATCAGCGATTGTTTACCAATTTACACGTTAACACACATAGCCCAATCTCATGTGTCATAGTTCTGTCTTCGACATAGGTTTCATGGATGCAAAATCTGCTGAGCCACTTACAACCTCAGTCTCAAGGGTATACAAGCCTTGTTTCTTCACGCCTCTCAAGACTTTCTTCGACCCTTCACGACTTTCGGGATGCCTTGCTCTCCTTTAAAGACATATCCTTTCTTGTCGAATTCACCAAGAGAAATTAAATTCCTCTTAAGGTCAGGTACATACCTAACCCCAGTCAATAGCCTTATTGACTCATCATGGAGATTGAATCTTACAAATCCAATACCTGCAATCTTGCAAACTTTATTATTTCCCAACAACACTGATCCACCATCTTGATCACATAATTCTTCAAACACATTCTTATTTTGAGTCATATGCCAAGTACATCCAATATCTATAATCCACTCTTTGCAAGAGTTGCTGCTCGACACTACAAGGACATCAGATGATTCATAATCATCTTGCACAATAGCTGCATTGCCATTGTATTTACCTCCATGATTATTCAGGTGCTCAGGGCACATATTTCTTGTGTGACCCTCTTCTTACAGTGATAACACTTAATCCCAGAAATAATACCACCATAAGACTTCTGCTAAGTTTTTCCTTTATTCTTCTCAAACCTACCATCTCTCTTCGACAATTTCCCCTTTACAGACAACCCTCACCAACTGACGATGATGGTTTCTGCTACTTTCTTTTGTTCAAATCCTTCGAATGCAAGGCTGCTTGAACTTCTTCAAAGGTCAGGGACTCTATTCCATACAAGAGGGTTTCTTTGAAGTGAGCACGAGACTTAGGTAAAGAACACAACAACAACAACAACAACACTTGATCTTCATCATTGATGGTAACATCAATATTTTCAAGATCAAGAATCAACTTGCTAAATATATCCAGCTGCTCCGTCAATACTTTATCTTCATTCATCTTGAATGAATACAAAACTTGCTTCAAGTACAAATAATTCACCAAGAACTTTGTCATATACAATCCTTCAAGTTTTAGCCAAACACCAGCTGATGTCGTCTCCATCAAAACCTGCTTGAGAACGTTATCACCAAGACTCAGAACAATTGCACTATGGGCTTTCTCGATCATCTTTGTCTTTTCCTTCTCCGTCTATGTAGTATCCATGGCATCTTCTCTTTTTAACGCTTCTAGCAAACCCTATTGAACAAGAGGGACTCGCATCTTCAAACGCCATAAACCGAAGTCATTAAATCTGGTAAACTTCTCAATTTCAAACTTTATTGACGATATCTTCTCCGTGCTCACCGCACCAGTTTGTTGTGATCACAAACGATACCTTTCAACAAATAAAGATTGAGAAACGGAGTTCTTGGGTGAATAATGGAAACGGTTAGAACAGAGAGAGAAAGAATAAAGGATAAAGAAGAAAGAAGAAGAATGATTAGGGAAAATTACTATATTATTCACTTTCTCAATATTACAAAAGATTACAAGTGAATAACACAATTGGTCTCTCTCAACAACCTGAGTGATCTAGCCTATATACAGACTAACTAGATAACTTGCACCTCAAGCTAACTAAACAATTGAATCCTTAATACAAGGCCTAATTCGACAATACATATTAGAACAGACTTCGACTACAATATGTATCCTTCGACCATAACATGCGACCTATCTTTGACTTCATACTTGTCTCCTATCGAAACACATGAAAGCTATTCCTTGACAGAGTTAGAGTTTGACCTATCTTCGACCATGTTCTGTTAGTCACATTGGTCCTTTTTGTTAAATTTTGTCAAAATCGATTAAGTTGGGCAAACATGACACTCCAGTTGGTATTATTTTGTATGACATGAAATTTTTTTTAATATACATACAATATTTTATTATAATTTATGAAACAACCGTCTTCTCTCTTCCCTCAAAACCTAGTTGTCACCTCTCTCTTTTCTACCCCTCTCTATTTCTCTCTTCTCTTTCTTTCTCTTTGTGAAAACCTCTGATTTTTACCATCACTCTTATCCAACTTATGCAATTGACTTCACCTTTGCATGAGATACTTGTCTCATCTTCATCCATGCACCACATCACCCACGCTACAATGCTCATTTCAACCGACTCATCATTCCCAACAATCGTTTCCCTCTTCAACAAGTTTATATTCAAGATCTTGACCTCTGTGCTTCCCATAAAGCTCTTTCTCAAGGCCAAAACTTACATGTTTGTTTTCTAAAAACTCAAAACTCTTTTGATTTCATCTTTCTAATCACTAAATTTTTCAACATGTATGGAAAATGTCGCTTCTTTCTTAATGCATTGAAATGTTCGACAAAATGATTGAAAGAACCATTTTCACTTGTGTACTCAAAGCGCGTGGTGCTCTTAATGAGAGGAAATCATGGCATAAAGTTCATTGGTTTGCTGTTAATTTATGTTAAGAGAACAATTTTATTGTCATGTTTTACTTTTCTTCTATTATTTATATGATATATTTGTAGGAAAAAGTTTTCAAACACTGTTTAGGGTTTATATTATTTTGAATTATTGAGTCAATTTGGAAACTTTTAGTTTTTATCTAATGGCGGATTGCTTAACATTATTTATTATTTTTTACATACTATTAACAATTTACCAGGGTGTTTATCCTCCTCAAATAAATATTGACTCAAATTTTGACCAACTGTCTTGTTGTCATGTCATGTAAGTTAATGGTTTTTTTTACAAAATTTGATGAAGATGACTAATTGAATTCATGGAACAGTTTTTAAGAGAATAAAATATAACGTTTATTAGTTAAGGAACTAAAATAAAATTTAAAATTAAGTTAAATGACTCTGCCACCAAAGATTGTAATTAGCGGAAGCAGGATCGGGTTACTTAATTATGGCTCTGATACCAAAGATTGTAATTAGCGGAAGCAGGATCGGGTTATTGTAAAGAAAAGAGAAGTATAGAAGATTGTAGAGACAATATTGTAAGAAAATTATAACTTGTTATTCAAAGGTGTGTCTACAAAAGAAACTGAAGTCCCTTTATATAGGGAAGAAAAGGCTTACTATTTAAGTCGGTAACCACTACTTACAATAAACGGTAAACTAAAACACAACTTGTATAATTATTGTCGGGTACTCTTTGGGCCCCATCGACACAACAATTAACAAGAAACAAAAAACAAAAGAAATAAAAATGTATGCCTAGAAATTCTAAAGACAAGATAAGATTCTTATTCCCTTGTCTTTTACAAAAGAAAGAAAATGCATGCAATTATGCCTAGAAATTTTAAAGACAAGATAAGATTCCTTTGTCTTTGGCTTTGGAAACGATTCTTTCTTTATTATTTCTTGTCTTCTAACTTTTGTCTATTGATTCTTACTTCATTGTTTCTAGACAAGATATCAATTTAATTTTTTTTCTTTTCTTATTTCTTTCATAGATGAAATCATTGCATCCCAAAACTCTTCTGCAGTAGGTTCATCCGCTTGACCTTCTCCTGCTAAACCATCAAAATTATGGGAATCCATTGAACCCATGGAAGAGCTTGTCTTCATAGATGAATCTTCATCTTTTGATGCTTTTGTTGGAAAAGTATAGAAGAATTGGTTCTTCATATGATCCAAAATTCTAACCATGATTTCATCTTCTGTTTCATTGGGATATTTCCTCTGGAAGAAGTTCTTCAAGTTTTCCATAGACATTTGTTGGGAGCTTTGCTCCTTGACCTTATTATTCTGATCTTCAGCTATAGCTTCTTGAATTAATTTTATTTTATTCTAGACATCCTCTGAACTCATCTTGTTCCACCATTTATAGAAGAAATTTCTTTCTAAAATGGGAATGTTGAATTTGTTCTTTGATATGGTGATTGACCATCTCCATATCCATGGAATCTAAAATTTAGTAAAGAATAATAATGGACATTGTCCAGTGATTAAATTATCAGATAAAATTTTTAAAATAAATGGACTATTATCACACCATGGATTGTATAAGTTAAGAATTTCTTTAGGAAGAATCTCCAAAGATGGACCAAATTTATCCCACCATTCATAAAACCAATTTGGTATGAGTTTATTAACCATCTCTTGATTAATAGAGAAAAACCAAGAATCCTTGTTCTTGGGATTTTGGTAATAAAAAGCTTGGACATAGTCCCAAGTATTAAAGTAAATATACTTTCCTTCTGCAATTCTTATTGCCTTTTCAGCATTTGGGTTAAGACCCCATTCTTTTGGTAACAAAATTTTGTTAATGTGACATTTACTGAAGTTTATAAAACTTTCAGGATTATTGTTTTGGTAATGGTGGGTAATTGTTACTGATTTGGTAACACTCAGGAGAATTTCTAGGTTGGGCCTAGATTTTCCATGAAGACCTGGATATCCTCTTGATTCGAGGTATCTAGTCTTAATAGACCAACCATCATTTGGATTTATCTTAATATCTTCATCATCAGTATACATGATTTTCTCAGTTACTGGATTTTAAAAAATAATTCATTTGTTCTTGAGGTGGGTTATTAACCGCAACTTCCTTGTAGGATGTAGTTTTATTAGAGGAAGAGGAAGCAATATCTTCCTTTTTTGCTGAAGATGCAGGTAATTGCTGCATTTTTCTGCCTTTGTAGACAGTAGTCCAATCCCCTATTAGAGGAATGTTTGATTCTGGCTGGGGTAACATATTGTTACTCCCACTCCCACCACAGCCATAACCGCGGCCTCTACCCCTATATGGGGTCATCATTTTTTCTCTGTAAAAGTTCACGAGTTAAATAATCAGCAAGTGAATTATTTTCACCTTTAATGTGTTGAATATCAAATTCAAACATAGATAATTGAGATTGCCAACTAGCAAAAATTTGCTTAGCAACAAGATTTTTAACATCTTTTTCAATAATTGATTTAGCTGAGCTACAATCAATTTTTAATGAAATTTTTTTATTAAGAAGATCATCTTGAAATTTTGAAATACATTTTATAATAGAAAGCATTTCTTTCTTGATAGTTGAATATTTTACTTGTGTTGGATTCCATTTTCCAGAAGTAAATCTAACTAAAACATCTTTTGATGTTTTAGGTATTATTTGTTTAAGGATTCCTCCATAGCCTATGTCTGAAGCATCAGTTTCAACAATTTTGAATACTTAGGATTAGCAAGAGATAAACAAGGCAAACATTTCACCTTATTTTTAATTCTTTGGACTGCCTGAGAATGTTTTTCAGTCCAAGGGTCAGGATTCTTTTTAAGCCTAGCATGTAATATTGCCGTATCTTTAGCAAGATTTTCATAATAATCTGCTATGTAATTGAGGCTACCTAGAAACCTTTGTAATTGTTTCTTATCTGTAATAATATCAGGGAATTTAGAAGCAAATTCAATACTTCTTTGTATAGGAATTATAGTTCCTTGGTCAATTTCATGTCTTAAAAATCTAACCCTTGTTTGGAAAAGTTTCATCTTAGGACCAGATATTACTAATCCATTATGCTTAATTAATCCTTTGAATATTTTCAAATGTTTAATATGTTGATCATGGTTTTTGAAAAAACTAAAACATCATCAATGTAAACAATTATAAATTCCGTATAAGGATTAAAAATATCATTCATAATATTTTGGAATTCAGAAGGGGCATTTTTAAGACCAAAAGGAAGGACATTCCATTCATAATGTCCAAAAGGTACGGTAAAGGCTGTTTTATACTTATCAGATTCATTAATCTGAATTTGCCACTAACCAGATTTCATATCAAATTTAGAGAAGATTAAAGCATTGTTTAATCTATCTAAAAGATCTTTTTTATTAGGAATAGGGTATCTAATCCATTTTAACAATTTATTAAGTGGTTTATAATTAATAACGAGTCTAGGAACTCCACGTTCCTTTTCTGCAGCATTATTGACATAAAAGGTTGTGCAACTCCAAAGGGATTTGGATTTTCTTATTAATTTTTTCTCTAAAAGAGATTCTATCTCTTTTTTGCATAAATTCAAATACTCGTGGTTCATTTGAGAAGGCCTAGCTTTAGTGGGAATCTGACTTTCATTAAAGTCATCAAGATAAGGTAAGGAAATAACATGTTTCTTTCTATCCCAAAAGGCATTAGGTAAATCATTGCGGATTTCATCTCTAAACTGTTGATCAATTAATTTAATTTGATTTTGAATTTCGGGTTTGTTAAGTTGAGAAGTGATGTTTAATAGATCAACTTCTTCTTTAAGGAAACAAATTTGTTTTTCTTTTTTAAAAAGAATATCTTTAACTTCATTAATCATCCTGGTATGGGGATCAGTAATAAATTTAAAAGTAATTCTTTTATTATTAATAATGGAGGTAATTCCCTTTTGATCAACATTAATTAGAGGCATAATTTTATGCAGAAAGGGAGTTCCTAATATAATTCTATGAGTTAGATTTTTCACAAGAATAAAGTGAGTGGGTAAACAAATATCTTTGTTATAAACATAAGCATTAGACAGTTTATAATTAACTGTGAGTTTATCTCCTCCAGCTTGTCTAAGAGATTGAGTAGTTTTATCAAAATATTTAGTGGGAATAATTCCTTCTTGGAGGCAGCTTAAATCAGCTCCACTATCAATAAGGGCAACTTCATTTTCTAATATGAAATTTCTATTAATAACTAACGTTATTCTAACAAACCATTTTTGAGAAGTTACTCTATCAATGAGAGAAAGGAAACTATCACTAGGTGAAGGATTACTAGTGGAAGCTATTTCTTCAATTTTTGAATTATTGGTCTCTAAGAAAGTGAGCCTTTGAGATAAACCATAGTTTTCTTTTTTAATTTGAGCTATCTCATGTTTTAAGAGATTTGTTTCTCTATTTAAATCCATAATAGAAACAGGAGTTTCACGAATGTTAGACTGTCTAAATCTAGACAAAACCTCACTTAATTGGTAAGGTGCTTCTGTAATAACCAGAGATTCTTTTTTAGTGTTTTCTTGGATTAGAACCTCAAGCATTTTTCTTTTAAGATTTTTATCAGAAATGGACTCTATAGCCTTTATAGCTTCATCCTGTTCTAAGGTTAAAACATTTAACTCATTCATATCAACTATTGATTTCCAGTAATCTAATTGATTACATTGAAAATTATTATTGTTAGAAGATTCAGAAGAGTAATCGGAAGAAGATTCATAAATCATATCAATATCTTCTTTAGAAGAGTAATCTTCAGAATCAGATTTGAGAAGTAAAACTTTCTCTAATTGAGAACGTAATTGTTCATCTTCTATTTTTTTAAAAGCTTTTTAGTTCAACATTGGTTGGCATAATGGTCAAGTTTACCACATTTTTGACATGTTATGTCAAGCTTTTTGGCTTTTCTTTTCCTCTTAGAGTCAAAAGATTTTTCTTTAGGTCTACCCTTATTGCAGTGACCCCTTTTCTTATTCTTATAAGAATTTTTATAAGAATTTTTTTGGCTTATCCCTATAGGATTTATTGCGGAAAACTTTTCCTTTTTTCTTTTTATTATCTGGAGATTTTCCAAGATCAAAAGCAAATTGCTCGCAAAATTCACCAAGTTGGTGTTTTTCAGAAAGCTTTTGCTTTTTAAGTTGATTTTTAAGCTTTATGTCATTACATAAAGTTAATCTTTCATTAACACAAGTACTAATTATTTGACCATAAGTAAGGTCAAAATAATTTATATTTACTCCATCATTTTTTTGTCTTAAAGATTGTCTAACCTTTTTAGAAAAGAAGTGGGGTAATCCATCAATAAATTTTGCTTTCCAGTGCAAAGAATTAGGATTATTTAATTGATAAACTCTTGAAAGAAAAGTATCCTTATACCATCTAAAGTGGGTAAGAGAAGGACACCTAAGGTTTTGGATAAGTGTCTAAATTGTTTCTCCAATGGGGACGTTGGTTCCTACAAAATGTTGTAAGATGGAAAGACACAGTGTATACACCGCATCTTCTTCTCCTGTGGTGGTCGTAGACACAATAGTGCTCGTATTAGCTCTTGGTTTGCTCTTAACAATTTTTCTGTGATTAAGAATCTCTAATTTTTTAGATTCAGTGAGATAATGATCCCACCATCCTCTAAGTTGGCCAACAAATCCTGTTGTTATAAAGGATGCTATTGAACTATCAGAATTTCCATGTTGCTTGCAAACAGTAGAGTACATGATCATCCTATGGATTGTATCTATAATTTGTTTGTCATTAAGACCATCAACATTCCATTCATAAATGGCTTTTCCCGAATAAGAATTCTAGAAAGGTTCTGATTCCTCAAAAAGCAAATCTTGTAGTGAGGGACGCTTGTAATTATACTTTTCTATAGGTCTTGGGGAATAAATAGGGTTTATACTATTAGTATTATTAATATCAAGGTTACTAATGTCTAAATTAACAAACATATCAGAAAGCTGGTCAATATGGTCATCATTATTATCCTCAGAATAATCTTCATGGGACATGACAGTGATATTAAGTCCTTTTAATTTTTGTTCTAAAATACGAACAAATTCGTCTCCATTGGTTTCCATTTTAAATCCTTCTATGGAAACAGGAGGTTGCACTATAGGAACATCGAAATAGTGGATGTGGATGTTTGGTCTTTAAGTTTATTTATGTGGTCAAGAATGATATCTTGACGCTCTATTTGTTTTTCTAAAAGATCTTTTATGGATAAGAGATCTTTTTCCATGGAGATAAATTTTTCTCCTAAGCAAACAAGGTAAGCATTGGTATAATTTTGAGACCTGATGACATAATTTAATTCCTTAAGAGTAACTTGACTTTGTTCAACCTTTTTTAACTGAAGGCTAAGGTAAGGGGTAACTTTAGTATTTTAATTCAAACTTATTGTTTGTTCAGGGGGAAAAAGAGATTCCATTATTTCCCCTCTAATGTTTTCCCAAGGTCTTTGTAACACAAGAACTTCTTCTTACTTTTTATTTATGAAATAATTAACAAACCATTTAACAAAAGGAACGAAATCTTGCTCAAGGTTCATTTGAGTGTAATACTCATCTTTAAATTGGGCTAATTCAGGTTTTGAAATTTTTTTAAAAAACTAATTTCTAAATTGAGAGTATCTCTCATGTTGAAACTCATCATTGATGAGTTGTCTCATCTTACTACCAGGGGAGTAATCTATCATTTTAAATGGAAACTCATATCTGACTGAGTAGGTGATTCTACTCATGGAGTATGAGGTTTTTGATAGATTCCATGGGGAACTCTATTTTCGCTTAGTCTTATATTCTCAACAGCCTCTACTTCTTCTCTTATTTGAGAAGTAGAAGGTCTAGGTAATTGGCTAGGAGATGTGTATAATTTACTAACTGAGTGCCTAGCAGATAGGAACCTGGGTATTATAGTTATTCTTTTTGAAGTGAAGTTTATTTCTAAATCTCCTTCAGTAGTCTGAATAATTTGGTCTATATCTCTATTAAGGATAGGTTCAGGATCTATTTCCTGGGGGAGAGACCATGTCTCTGGGAAGTTTATTTCATCTCACTTTATTAACCTATTGGTTGCAACATTGGATGTTAATAAATTTGTTTGAACCAAAGTAGTTGTTCCAGGAAATGATAAATGTTTTGCTTTAGGATTAAGCGTAGTAAGAACCTTATAGAAGATTCTATAGCATATTGCTATGATTTCACTTCCAAGTTTAAAATTGTAACCATTAGTATGAACTGTTAATTGCATATCATCTAATAAATTTTTATCAGACAAAGATAGATTTAAATCGGGTGAGACAT